CCCCCCGCCGCCCACCCCCCCCCGTTTTTCTGTCCCCTTTTTACCCCCCTACTGGGAACTGAGGGTCCGATGCTAGGACGGGCGAGATGGGCCACGCGTATGTGTCCGGGATCCAGTCCGGCACCCGCCGCAACGTCTCGCACACCGCGACGGCGCGCATGGCCGCGACCTGCAAGCACTTTGCCGCGTTCGGCTCCCCGGAGGGCGGTCTGTGCGTTATACCCTCTCCCTTTCCCACTGGCCGTCCTTTTCTGATTTTTTTTCTTTTTTTGTTGTTGGATAGGAACATCGCGCCCGTGCACGGTGGCGAGCGCGAGCTGCGGACGATGTACCTCCCGCCTTTCAAGCGCGCGTGTGTCGACGCACTGACGATCATGACTGCTTACTCGTCCTACGACGGCATACCCGCCATCGCCAACTCGCACCTGCAGGTCGACATCGTGCGTGTTCTCTCCTTCCATTGCCTTCCCATCCTCCTCCTCATACCTCTCTTCTTTTATCCCGTTTTTTTTTGGTCCCAGCTACGGAACGAATGGGGATACAAGCACTACGTCACCGCTGACGCGGGCTCGGTCGACATGCTCTACGACCTCCACTTCGTCGCCCCCGACCGCGCGACGTCGGCCAAGATCGTCGTCGAGAATATCTCGGGCGAGATGGGCGGCGGCACGTACACCTTCCTCACCCTGCCCGACTCGGTTCGGAACGGCACCGTCGACGTCAAGTACGTGGACGACACCGTCGCGACCATCCTGCGCATCAAATTCATGATGGGCCTCTTCGAAAGTGCGTCGTCCCCCCCTCGGGCCGACGCTCCACCCGTCTTTTCGAAACCTGACGTCGGGGGCAGATCCGTATCCGTACGCGGACTACAACGCGACGCTCCGCACGTCCGCGACGCGCGCGCTCCTGCACCAGATGGAGCGAGAGCAGATCGTCCTGCTCGAGAACCGGAACGGCACCCTGCCCCTCTCCAAGACCTCGCCCCTCCGGCTCGCGCTCATCGGCCCCCAGGCCGACCGCGTCTCCTTCGGCGACTACGTCTTCTTCAACGCCTCCCACAACGGCATCTCGCCCCTCGCCGGCCTGCGGCGGCTCCTCGCGAACGACAGCTCCGTCGAGCTCGCCTACGCCGAGGGCTGCGAGCTGTGGTCGGACGACCGCGGCGGGTTCGCGGACGCGGTGGACGCGGCGCGAGGCGCGGACGTCGCGGTGGTCGTGGTCGGGACGTGGTCGCTCGACCAGACGCTGCTCTGGACGCCGGGCACGAACGCGACGACGGGCGAGCACGTCGATCTGAGCGATCTCGGCTTGGTCGGCGCGCAGCGCGCGCTCGTGCAGGCCGTCAAGGGCACGGGCAAGCCGACGGTGGTCGTGTTCGTCAGCGGTAAACCGCTCGCCGAGCCGTGGATACAGGAGAGTGCGTAAATCGACCCCTCCTCCGCTCTCCGCCCCTCCCACTCGAAAAAACGCTGATTTACCTCCCCCCCCCCTTTTTTTTTTTTAACCGTTACGTGGCGCGCGCGCAAAAAAATAAAGACGCCGACGCGGTCGTGCAGCAGTTTTACCCGGGCGAGCTCGGCGGGCTCGCGCTCGCCGAGGTGCTCTTCGGGGACGCGAACCCGTCCGGAAAGCTGCCCGTCTCGTTCCCGCGCGACGTCGGCACGACGCCGATCTTCTACAACTACCTCAAGGCCGCGCGCCCGCTCGACCCGGGCCGGATCACGGACAACGGGACGCTGGCGTTCGGGCACCAGTACGTGCTCGACAGCCCCGCGCCGCTGTGGGGGTTCGGACACGGGCTGAGCTACACGACGTTCAACTAGTGCGTCAGATTCCGAAAAAAAAACGATCTCGTAGATCACCCGGGAAAACACTGATGACACGGGATGTTGAACGGTTACAGCACGGGGCTGACGTTGTCGAAGTCGACGATCGGCACGAACGAGGACTTTGACGTCACCGTCACCGTGCACAACACGGGCAAGGTGGACGGGAAGGAGGTCGTCCAGGTACGCACGCGGTTTTACCCCCCCAAAAAAACAAAGGCCCTGATTCCCCTCCGTTCTGTTTCTGATTCGCCCCTGGTGCGCGCGACGGGCAGGTGTACATGACGGACGTGATCAGCTCCACGGTGACGCCCGTGCAGCAGCTCGTCGGGTTCGCCAAGGTGGACGTCAAGGCCGGAGGCTCGGAGACGGTCCGTATTCCCGTCAAGTCGGAGCAGCTCGCGGTCTGGACCGTGAACAACAAGTGGGCGGTGGAACCCGGCGCGTTCATAATCAAAGTCGGCAACGCGCTCGAGACGTTCGCGAACGCGACTCTAATCGTAGCGTGATCGCGCCAGCCCACGAAAGAAAAGAAAAAAAGTGTTTTTTAACACGGTGTATATTGATATATTGCGATGACGTGTGGGAATAAATAGAGAGCTAATGCGATAGCGTCCTCTGGAACAGACAGACAGAGATTGTGCAAACGACGAGTGTGACGCGAGAGGGGGGGGGGTGCAGACACGGAGCAATATCATTTTTATCTCAGACGCGCCCGGAGACGCCCATGGGCGCCATGTGCATCGCTCCGGTCGCGGGGTCGTGCAGCGGCTTGTACGCGCCGCGCGCGCCGGGGAGGACGCTCACGCCCCGGAAACCGACCGCGCGCGCGCCGCCGCGCCGGCGTCCGCGGCAGCAGCAGCACCAGACGCCGCAGCCGAGCGCGAGGGCGACGATGGCGATCGCGCCGATGAGGATGAGGTACCAGTGCGAGAGGATGCGCTCCTTGAGCTGGGCCGAGCGCTCGCCGGGGGCGAGCGGCGAGTGCGACTGCTGCGAGGCGGGGAGGAGGGTTTTGGAGGAGGAGGAGGTCGTGTCGGTGCCGCCGAGGCGGACGCGGACGAAGTCGGCTTTGGCGGTGGACGGGTCGGTGATGGGGAGGAGCTGGACGAAGGGGTCCGAGCGGTCGTTGGAGGAGGTGGAGACGAAGTCGCCGAAGTCGAAGAGGGAGTAGGTGTTGCGGAGGAAGCCCATGCCGAGGATCATGTCGTAGTCGCCGATGATGGAGAACGCGCCGGAGCCGATCGGTTGGAACTGTGGAAGAAGAGCGGGGATGAGAACGAAAGAAGTATTGCAAAGAAGAAAAAAAAAGATGGAAGAGGGGGCACACGTACGGGTCCGACGCAGTTGGTGGCACCGGCGCGGAGGTCGGACGAATCCGAGTTGAGGTCGAGCGGGTGGATGGGGTAGGTGACGCCACCGAACTTGAAGGAGATGTTTAGGTACTGGTCGCAAGGGATCGTCCACCACTCATTGTCGGTGTCGTACTTGGCCCCTTGCACGCGGCCGTAGATCGCGTCCGATACCTTGCGCGGCACTTGAGGGAGCGAGAACCCGGAGTCGAATACGGCAACAAGCTTGCCGTCGTGTACGCCGGGCACGATCGACGAGACGTCGAGCGCGTTCCCGTCGGGACCGATGATGCCGTTCGAGTCCGTGAGCACCTGGAAGTGCTGGTCGGCGGAGAGCTTGACTTTGTCCACGGACAGCTTCGGCTGCGACGTGATGTTCTCGTAACCCGGCACTGGGGACGAGATCGTGAGCTGCCCGGAGGTGAAGGCGTCCCCGGTGTTGTTCTCGCGCGTGAGGAGGAGAGAGATGTAGTTCGACGAGGTCTTGTTTTGGGAGAAGATCCGCGAGAGTGGGGAAGCGCCGGTCAGGTTTTTGAATTTGCTGGCGACGACGGAGTTGGAGTTGGGCCCGAGGCCCATGAGGCCCTGGATGCCGTCGTTAAGGCCGATATTGGACGCGTCTTGTACGAGGACTTGGGAGGTTTCTCTTAGTAGCAAGACACGAACGAGCTGAGGTACAGCACTCACTGTATGCCTGATCGTCAACGGTAAAGTTATCAAACTGGAAAGATGCGGCGTTGATATCGCCTGGAGAACACATCCATGCTCAGCAATGGCATATGACATGAGGTGTCGTGTGACGACGCACCGCTCGCAGACCCAATGGCGTAGCTGATCGTCGCGCTCTTCCCCAAGTCCTTCGTTCCCGGTACGCTTCCTACCACCCACAGATCGGCACTACGGGGGACACGAAACCATAAGACACCAGCACAAGTTCACGCAAACATCGCGAAACTCACCTGCCCGTGTCCAGCAGCACCGTCTTTGCCGTCCCTCCAAGAGTGATGTTACCCGTGTATTCCACATCGCGCACGTCGTTGACCGCCACGCTGGCTCGTCCCTCCAGCGTCCGCGCTCGTTTCCTTGGGCTCGCCGCCCCGGGTTTGCGCGTAACGTGTATCGGGACGTGGATGGCGCACACGACGTCGAGCACGGCGAGCACGAGTCCGAGCGGGATGAGAGGGAGCATAGCTGATAAGTGTACGAGGGCGGACCAGAAGATGGAGGAGGTATTTGAGGCGCTAGGTGATCGCAGCCCGTGTCGGGTTGCACGGGGCAACAGGTAGGCGGCGTCGGTGGGCCATGGCGGTGCTCGTGCTGTCTCGCCTGCGCCGCGTGTCCCCCTTGTTTTGTCTCCCGCGCTTTTTGCTGTACTGCTTGACGATGAGGTTGGCTGCTGCGTTTCTTGTCGTCGTGCGGGTTCAAGAGTGGGACGTGCAGACGTTAACTACGGGAAATGTTTTACTATCGTCGATCGTGCTCAATCGCGGTGCGGACGGCCCGCTCACGCTCCGAACCTGGCTCCAGCACTGCGCGCGTTCGTCGACATGCAACAATGCCGCGCATCGAGAGCGCTCACGGTTCCAGATTGCGTACAACTACTGAATCTTTCCACCTTGCTGTGTACCGCTTCGAGGCACAATAACCGGCGGCGGTGGACCGCGATCGCTGTGCACTGATCCGTGCAGACCATTGCCATTCTTTCTACCAAGGCTATGAGATGACAGTGAAGCAGTGAGTTGTTTTTAGGGCATGAAATATTGATGCCGTTCACAGCTGATGGACTATGATGGCGACGCCTTTTCGTCCCTCGTGCATCCTTCCCCAATCGTGGAGGGGACAAACTCTGCAAGAGAGTTCCGAGCCGTGATGGTTCTCCCCAGGTACTGCAAAGCCAACGACCACTATCGTTGCGACGATAAGACAAGGCATAGCCCGAGATGGACTCGTCGGTTCTTCCGTGCTGGACCGATCCACGTCTATCCCGTGCCATGTGAGACGAAGACGAGGGCCTAATATGGTATCGGGAACGGGAAGGGACGTGCAACGAGTCCATGATAAAAGTCGGTGGTGACAAGAACGCAAGACAAAGGGCCTCGGAACTCCGTTTACAGCATTTTCCGTTTTGCACGTTTATTCTGTTGAGGGGACGCGAGGGGTCAGCGCTCAGCTATTGACTCAGAGAATAGCAAGCCCAGTGTTCAGACAAACCATGGTTTCTTCGCGTTGTAACTCTTCCCATGACCGGAAGCCGAAGACCGTTGGCACGCAGTCCCATGCGTTCCTACGATTCGTCTCTTCGTTCTCCCAAATTGGGGTGGAGCATCCCATGCAAGTTTCGCATGGAGCGAACGGAGGTGCCAAGCGATCGCGGAGTAAATATGCTAACCCCCGACTCTCGAACTGATCCTCCAACACCTTACTCAACGTCCATTGCATGTATGCGCACGTCTTCGGGGCTTCGCAGCCGGTGCAGGCCCACCGGAGCGAGCACGTACGCTGTATGGTGTGAAGCTTCTGGTGACCTCTCAAGGTGACAAGCAAATCATCGGGCTCCAGATTGGCCTGCAGAATGCCTTCGATGCCGTACTCGCACAGCGCGAGCATAGTCACGGGGACAATGGTAGATAGCCCAAGCGTCCGTGCTAGCGCCATAGCACGGGCATGGTCTGCAGGCGAACCGTCTAGATGGCAGGAGGGTATTGACGAGACGTATGAATCAAAATCGGCAGGATAATAATCTTCAAAGCGTCGCATGGCACGATCACGGAGACGGTTGATGTCGTACTTGATCGACAGCGAGAGAATAGAGATGGTTTCGGGCAACGGTCCGTGATCTTCGAGGCTGGAGCGATTCAGAAGTATTAGGACTGTTTTATCTTCACAAGGACGGGTGTGACTCGACTCACCCCGTGCCATGAAATATGGCCGACAGTAAGCGCTCCAGATCCTCCGCTGGATCCGGCATATAGACGAGCGGACAACCGTAACGTGGATCGATGTTGGTATCGTGATCGCAAACCGCGAACATGTCCGCAAACACTGCGGAGTGCTGGGCCAGCAGCCCGCGATAGACCTTGAAGCCAACGCTTTCCGATGCCAGCACGACGTTGCCGTCGTCGTACCAGAGCTTCTCGGAATGAATCAGCTCGCCGTCAGGCCGGGATGCTCCGGCATCCATGGTGCAAGCAGAACGGTCGACGGCGATGTCGTGACTCGTCGTAGAAGCAAGAGGCAGGCGCGTCTGTAGACTCTGTACGCATCTTGCCGCTCTGCCACCGCCGACCCCACATCCTTGCTGTACCAACGATATCATTTCTACCGCACCAATCCGTCCAGCAACGTCTCGAATCATTTTGCTTCGGTATGTGCGGAAGTCGCACAAGGTGACATGGAAGCGTCATCGCGTTCATACATAATTCTTCGCCAACATCTGCCTTCGCCTCTGCGGCTGTAAATCTCAGAACAAGATGACCTGAGACTACTCGTGGCTCAGAATTCTGGGCTGGCAGGCTTTCTGAGGCATCGAGATCGGAAAAACAAGATGATCCTAGCACAAAACCCGCCAATACCGTATCGTCAATCCTATACCTGACAATTGCGCGTGTTTGACAACGCCTACTTACATACAATCGCCAAAGTACGGCTTGTACCATGTCTCACGGAGCCAGACGGGACTTATGCGTGACATCAAATTCGCTCAAGAGTGGCATAATCACCCCGTCGTGTTCATTGCGGTGCCTCCCGGACGACACTCGGGCAAGAGTTGATCGAAATCACGGTATGCCGTTTCAACCACACGACCTTTTTTGCCCTTGGCTGTCGCATTCTGGAGATAGGACGTGGGCATGGCAGATAATGTGGAAGAGACAAGTCAGTCGCACCAGCATGAAGGTTCGGCAATTTGAAGACAATCTGTTGGACAGATCAGAGTGAGTAGGCTTGAACGCGTATGATAATGGGCCCGTATACGTACGCAACTAACCTCTCGATCTTGCAGGCGATCCTCAATCATGTCAGCCCATTGAACGCAGCTGGGACCTCCTCCCAAGCGCGCTGTCGTCCGGTCTTGTCCGTGATCATCGCATCGTCGATGCACCCGAGACAGAGCCCGACGTGCTCCAACGCCGCGCGGGAGAAGCCGTGCTCGAACAGGCACAGTTTGTCGATCTTGATGAACGCCTCCTCGATCGTCCGCGACAGCCGCGCCTTCTGCTCCCCGCACTCCCGCACGCTCGCGCACGCCGCCGAGACGCGATAGATCCACCGAAACGGGTGCGTGCGCTGCAATCCCTGCAGGGTGACGAACCCGTGCAGCGCAATGCGAAGGTCGTTTGGTTCGAGCCCAGCGGAGAGGATCGCGTCCAGCCCGCGATCGCAGAGCGCGAGCATGATCAACGGAAGGGTGCATGAGCGCTGGAGTTGTCTCGCAATGCGGAGGGCTTTGACGTAGTCCGTGGGGGCCAGCGTCGGGCGCACGTTCCACTTGTGAAGAGAGCCGGGGAACCAGCTGTCGAAGCGCTGCAGGGCGCGGTCGCGGAGGCGGGGGATGTCATATTTGGCAGCTAGGGACGCGACCGCCGCAGCTTCTGCAAAGGGTGCATTGTCTAAACGTTCTCCCGAGCTACGTCATTCCAGAGGTTAGAGTGAGAATCGGGGTACGATAGAGGGAATGAGAGTGGGCGCACTTGATATCGTGAATGGCCAGGAGGAGGCATCGCAGGTCTTCAGCAGAGTCTGGCATATGTACGAGTGGACAATCGTACAACGGGTCGACGTTTGCGTCCGGATGGGAGATGGCCAGCATGTCTGCGAAAACGGACGAGTGTTGAGCCAGCAGCATGCGGTAGACCTTGAACGCGACCCCTTCAGCAGCGAGTACGATGCTACCATCCAAGTACCAAAGTTCTTCGCAGCGAGCGAGGTGAGGCGACACCATCTCAGTATCGCGGACTTCAGACATGCTGTCGTTTACTCCGCCAAACGGCATCGGGAACACGGGGATGGGGCGCTGACATAGTCGCGGGAAGGAGATGTGTCCGGTGATATCGGGCATGAGTCGATCGTCCACACGTATTACTCACAGCGAGTATAACGAGTTCTTATATGATAAGTCTGCACAGTCACTCGATCCAGTAGTCGACGCACGTCCTCAATACGTACCGGCTACATCGGGACGATGAAATTCGAAACAGGTTCTCCCTCATCGTACACGACCCGCTTTGTACCACGACGGTCGCTCTCCCATTAATAGGAAACAAACGGATGGTGCGTGAGCTCTGTAGGAGTATCGGACTTCTAGAGTATCGGAGTCCAATACTCCTACAAAGCTCGGAGGGCGAATTGTAAGTCCACGCCTGGCACTGCAAAGTACAGTAAGTATACGCAAAGCACAGACGGTGAGTCAGGAAATTAGCGCACATTAGACATGATGATCGAACGCTGTCAAGATATCTCCCCAGATATCGAACGATCCTGTTCTTATGCAGTCGAGGGCGCTTTCGGTGCAGTTGGAGCACAGATCACGACCCTGCGGCATGTGCTGCGATAAATCTTCTTCGGTGGTAGAGCTGTAGAGATCGAGTTTGTGCGTGGTTGGATCGAGATCCACCAAGTTTTTGAAGAGCATTGCCTTCACGGCGCTACACGCACGCCAGTTCGGACAATCCTTCGGAAGACCGCATAGCCAACTGAATGAGCGTATGCGCCGAACGACCTGCAGCTTGACAAATCCACCCATCACGTCTTCCAAGTCATCAGGCTCCAAGTTTGCGCTAGCAATCGCCTTGATACCCATTTCGCACAGCGCGAACATCATCATCACGCGAACGGAGGGGTCAAGGGAGAGTTTTCGTGCCACCCTGAGCGATTTGGCGTGGTCTGCACTCGTTAACTTTGAGCGACTACTAATCGTCGAATTCCACCGGAGGATGTCGGAAGGATACCAGTATTCGAGACGCCGTGCTGAGCAGTCTTGGAGGGCTGCGATATCGTACTTCGCGGACAGAGCTGCGACGGCAAGCACTCCAGCGAATGACGCGCGCTTTAAGTATGCTGCTGGGCTACGTCGACGTCAGGTGTAGGTTTGAGTATAACATGGAGGGAGATCGGGTTGAGCAGGACATACTCGATGTCATGGATAGCAAGTAACAGGTAACGTAGCTCTTCCGCCGAGTCCGGCATGTGCACGAGCGGACAACCGTGTAGAGGATCGATATTCGCGCTCGGTTCCGAGAGCGCGAGCATATCGGCGAATACGGCAGAGTGTTGAGCTAGCAGCATGCGATAGACCTTGAACCCTATCCCTTCTGCGGCGAGGATGATGCTGCCGTCCTCGTACCACAACTCATCGCACCGAGTCAACTGTGCCGATGGTTTCGATTTCGGTTCGATCTGGTGGGATCGAGGCCGGATGTTGGATGTGCTCATGGTGTTTAGCACAAGGGAGTAGTGAGTGATCAATACGGCGAAGTGCGGGAGACACGACGAGATAAGGGTTGGTCTTTCCTGCACAGCCAGAGCTACAAAGCACATATTTTATTACTCCCTGTACAAAAACCAAGTATCTATGGCCAAAATCACGTAGATTATTACTTCAAGAAAGCGCGCCATATCCAACCCTCATGCCTTTGCCTAAAACACGAACGGCATAGCTCTGAAGTGGCTGCTGCTACGACGCGACGAATCTGTCAGATAACTCAATTTTCCGGTACGTGATTCTGACAAAACTGAAATCTAGCCCACGGGTTGCGTCGAGGCCGCGCGCCAACCATAAATAGCAGGCAGATGGTTCATACCCGGGGGCCGGCGCAGCTCGTCCCAAAGAGTTTAGGTGGCATTTGCGGGGAACTAGTTCCACGCACGATCACGTACCTTCCAGCCGGTTAAGTTAGGGCAATGTCCGGAAGATATTGTATACACACCGGGCCTCAATGGGCTCCGCGGAAAATCGCCAATGAACTGTGAGGTAGGGGGAAATCGCCAATGAAGTTCGAGCTAGGCACTTTGTGAACCCTGTTTGAAGGCGTGTCAAAGGCGTTCCTTCAGTCCATTGCATGTAGATGACATAGCCCATGATGGTTGAGCATGATATAATGATGGGAAAGGCAGCAGTCTTTGTACGCATTGCAGCCTGCAGCAATCATGCAGGACCTACGAGCCCGAACGAGGCGAGGAATAGGGATAGGCAGAATACAAGAAGTATAAGAAAGTAAACAAGTGTGCCGATGCACTAACCACAACACAGCAATCCACTTTCGGATGAATGACCTCTACCTTCTACTTGAGTGCGCGATTCAATTGTCATGGAAAAGCGTCCCTAGAGATGATGAATCTCAGAACTTGGAAACACTCGGAATGACATATATTCATACCATGACTCTCATCCCTCATCGTGACTGGTTCACTTGGCCCCCAGCTTATGCCACGTTTCCATGCCAAAAACGGAGGGCAAGTCCTCCCAAGCACTTTCCAGTCCAGCCTTTTGAGTCCTGAAAGCATCCGTGACACACCGGTCACACAACACCTCAGACAGCGGCACGCTGAATTGCTCCAGCGATAGATCAAAGACGTAGAGCTTGTCGCAACTGAACATCTTTTCCATGAGCAAGGACATCTCCGCTCTCCTGCGGTTGCACGAAGCAGGAGCAGTGCATCTCACCACCGGCCGATACAACCATCGGAAGGTATGGGTTCGTTGCATCACCTGCAGCTTTGTAAAGCCCAGGAGCAACACCTCTAGGTCGTGAGGTGGCAGGCCGCTTCTCAAGATGCTGCGGACGCCTCCGTAGCACATTGCGAGGAGTATCACGGGCACCAGATGGCTCATCTGCAGCTGATGCGCCAACTGCAGTGCGGCATGATGTTGGCCTGGCTTTAGCACAGGAGTCACGGGGGTTCCACGTGTGGTTACCCATTTGTTGAATGACGTGGGATACATGGATGCGAAGCGCTCCACCGCGCTGTCGAGAAGGTGGCCAATTTCGTACTTCGCCGCCAACGAGGCGACGGCTATCGTCTCCATGAACGGCGCGCGTTTCAAGCGTTCAGTGGCTCTGGGATCGGTATGGGCATCCGCTCGCATGATATGGCATGGATCGGGAATCGTACCTAACGTCGTGAAGTGCCAGGAGAAGATAACGCAGTTGGGCGGCAGAGTCCGGCATGTGAACAATTGGGCAGTCGTACGAGGGATCAATGTTACTCTCGGGCGAAGACATGGCGAGCATATTCGCAAAGACAGATGAGTTTTGAGCTAGGAGCATCCGATAGACCCGGAAGCCAACCCCTTCGGATGCGAGCACAATGCTGCCGTCCTCATACCATAGACCTTCGCAACGAGTGAGCTCGGTTAACGAGGTTGATGTTTCTATATCCTCAACGCCGGTGCTGGTATTCGGGGTGTTGGCCATGGTTCTTGGAATTAGTATCGGCAGGAGATGGGGGAGGGGTGAGATAAGATGAGGACGATAGCTCCTCCAGGCCGCCTTTTCGATTCCGAATAGCTTGAAGATCACCACGTGCAAGTACATCGAGAAACACCTATACTTGGTATCGGCGACAGCATTTGGATATAGCTTGGGCCGGTGCTGCAACCTGGTTCGCTTTGAGTTAAGGATTGCCATATTCGTGCGGGTCTATCGCTTACCACGCCGCCTAAACCGATGTAAAGCTGAAGACGAGTAGACAACCATAGAGGACATCGATGTTAGCATGAGGGAAAAAATCGCAAGCATGTCGGGGAGCACGATGCTACCGTTCTTGTACCATAAACCCTTGCAGGGGTCCATTTCCGTGAACGATCGGGCGCCTTCGTTTCCTTCGAGGTCAGTGGTAACCGTGTATTCAGTGAATTGTCCGCAAAGTATTATTATGTGCAGTCCGTCGTGGTCGCTGTGCAAGGCCAGGACACTCGGTCAGCACGTGTTCCCTCCTGCCAGTATGTTCATCGTCGGCGCTTTCTAGGCTTCAGCCTTGGATTGATTTACTTGCCTACGAACTACAGTAACACGGATCCCGTATGAGATGACGCAGGCCGCAAATCGCAAGGGAGCGTCCCTTGGTAGCAATGGATCCAGTCTCCTCTCCGCCATGTACATAGTAACCAGCCAATAATCATCGGATAACCGCACCCCCGAATCTTGGACCACTATCTCTCTCTCTGTTATGCCGATGGTCTCCCGTCCAGCGATTCGCGCTGTCCTCATCGACCTCTCGGGAACGCTGCACATCGGCACCTCCGCGCTCCCCGGCGCCGTCGCGGCCCTCCAGCGCCTGCGCGAGGCGCGCGTCCCCTTCCGGTTCTGCAGCAACACGAGCAAGGAGAGCACGGCCGACCTCGTGCGCAAGCTACGCGCGATGGGTTTCGGTGTAAAGTCCAAGGTTGTCGTCGGGCCAGAAGGCAAAGAAGGAGGAGAGGAGGAGGTGTGGACGAGCCTCGGTGCGGTCAAGAGGATGATCGAGGCGAGAGGACTTCATAGGTGAGGTATACTTTCGTGCTCGAATCGTCTTTCCGTGCATGCCTTGCGTGAACTACGGGCAGTTCTATCTCTGATGCGGCCCGGAAACACGGATCGTTGACACCCCATCGCAGACCATACTTCCTCCTCTCGCCTTCAGCAGCCGAAGAATGTTCTGCCAACCTTCCCTCCTCCGACCCGAACACACCATACGATGCCGTCGTTGTTGGCCTCGCACCGGCAATGTTCACCTACGATAACCTCACCACCGCCTTCCGCGTCCTAATCGGCGAGGAAGGCCAGCCTTCTTCTGCCTCTGCCTCTGCCTCTGCCTCGACCTCGACCTCGAAACCGAACATCGCATTCCTCGCTACGCATAAGGCCAAATACGTCCGGACGCCCGATAAGCAGCTGTCCCTGGGCCCTGGGCCTTTTGTCGCAGCGCTCGAGGACGCGAGCGGCGCCAAGGCGGAGGTGGTCGGTAAGTCGACGAAGGCGTTTTTTGAGAGCGTCATCGGCAGCATGAACCTGGACGGTACGCGAGCAATCCCATCGACCACCACGGTCCACGGGCTCTGATATCCCCAATGTGCAGGAGGCGACGCAGGGAGGATCGCCGTCATCGGCGACGACGTGGCCGCGGACCTCGGGGAGGGTGCGCTGGAGCTCGGCTTGTGGAGGGTCCTCGGTAAGCTACTTCGCGTTGTCGACCGTGGTGCGGTAAGGAGATCTGAGCCGATTTTGTAGTGAAAACCGGCAAGTATAGGCCCGGAGACGAAACTAGGGAAGATGCGGTACCTCCCGACGAAGTGCAGGACAGCTTCGCGAGCTGGGTGGACAGTTTGCTACTTGACCGCGAGGCGCATTCACGCTTGTGAGGAGGTTGTTGGTTGTGTGAGACGCGCGAATGTTGCACTAGATGACTGGAAGAATAGATATAGAATTTGTTGTACTGTACATGGCGCGAACCCGTGAAATATCGATACACTAAGGGGAGTTGGTCACGACTTCAGTATCTCCTCCACCTGCGTCTTAACGGTCTTCCACTTCCATACGGATTGATCGGGGTTCACCAACTCGTTCTCGTTTGAGGACGACCAGTCCAGCTTCCCTTCGCCCATCAGGATCCTGTAGATCGACGATGAGCATTTTGTTACGAAATCGTAGGAGATGACGCGCACCGCAGATGTCCCGCGGGAGGAAGACTCCGATCGGCCAAATACCTCTTGCTCAGCTCCGCCTTCTCCCGCGCGAGGTCCAGGCTCTGGATCCGTACCTCTCCTCCACACCAGCGGGCGACGTCCTCAAAGCTGGCGGTCGACCCCGCGATCCGAACGTGGTCTGGGACTTTGGACGCTGAGGAAGGCTGGGATGCGAGGAGGGAGAGTTCGGCGAGCGCGCGCGCGACGTCGGCCTGAGACGTGAAGGAGACCCGCTGGCTTGACGGGCCGACGGGCGTGAGGAGGCGGTTTGGAATGTCGAATCCGGCTAATGGCTAGGACGTGTCGTCGGTCTGTGTGTAACGTGCCGGTTCTCCCGGGGGTCGGACCGAGGCTATCTTTCCTTTTCGAGCAGTCGGCGCGGCGCGCCGTTACCCCTTTTGATTATCATTCTACTACCACATGCTCCATCTGACGACGACGAGGGTATAAAGTCAAGCTACCTCGTCGTCTGGAGCTCACCTTTTGGTACCCTATTCTACCTTACTCGAGTGCTCAAATACGAGATCTGTGACTCTCTGCTTTTGTGCCGCTCGAGAACCTAACCGTGTGAACGCACCTTAGCCTAATCAGGCTTTGCTCGCGTCACATATTTTTGAGAGAGGATTTCAGTGAGTATTCTTTAACCGCTTTTAGTCGCTAACTCCTTTGAATAGGTAACTACCTGGTCTGATCACCCAGGTACGCCCTTACATCGGACGCGACGACTACGAGCAATACTACCTCAAGTTATCGCGTGTACCCTCGACATCATGCCAGTGTCTAGGGATGAAACGACGGGCCAGTGGGTCCGTCGTGACCGACGGGCTGACGGCGTCCTTGACGCCGAACGCCCATCGGGTGCTCCAGCTGATGGATGGACCGGAGCGGTAGCTCGCGGTCCCCCTGATGCTCGTCTTCCGGTAGCATCTGACCTCGCGTCGGATGTCGGAGGATCCCCATCGATGGCCGGTGCTCGCGCATCTGGCCTAGGGGCTGAATCGGGGGTGGGACGTCGTGATGATGTCCCTACCGATACGCAACCGTCGCGCGAAGCATCGCGTGGGGCGGGGACGATGATGGCTCAGACGCCTGGGGTACTCAAGGATGAGTCGCGGGATCTGATGCCTTTTGTTATTGGAGGGTTCGGCGGGCCGTCGAGTGACGGCACCGAGTCTTGGTCCAGAGTACCGAGGAGGCGCCGTAGTGCGTCTCCCGTCCTGTCTAAACGTACGATCGTTAGCAATGATAACAGTTTCGCGTCGTTGGCTAGTCTTCAGGACACGTCCTTGGTAACCAAGGACGACGAAGACATTGAGTATAACTCACCTGAGGTACCCGAAGTGCCTATGACGCCTAAGAAGGCTAAAGGCAAACGGCGGGCCTCTCTATCCAGCCCGTTCGGCACTGATACTGAGCTGGAGGCCGAACCCGAGACGCCTACCCCTGTTGATAAGAGTAAAAGGGAGGAGCGTGAGGTATCTGCAATCAGCGATAGTAAGCCGGGACCGGCAAAGGCTGACGTACCTGAGTTCCTCCGATACATGGGGCTTGAAGAAGCAGAGATCGATGTTGGCGCCCAGCGTGCGGCGCTCGATTCTCTGAAGACCGGGCCTGATGATCGGAGATCGAAGGGATTACCGGCCAGGAGCGAATCGTCGGTGCCGTCTTCGAATGAACCGCTTGAGGACATTATGGCTCGAGCCCGCGACTCGGCAACACTGTATAAAGAGACCTGCGATCGAGAAGTCCGTGAGGCCCGGAGGGAACGCGATACTGCCAGTCGGGCCCGCATTGAGGCTGAGCGGTCCCGAAAGGAATCTGAGGACGCGAGAGTGAAGGCTGAGCGTCGTCTCGACGACGTTTTGGACAGAATCGACCGACTAACGGGTGTTGTTGAATCTCAGGCCTCTGAGATCGCTGCACTGCGCCAAGAGCGTCCACGGGATCAGCACGATGCGGGGAATGATCCTCGACGGGCTGATGTCGGCTCGATCCCTCGTGTCGGGTTCCAGGGCAGGGATATCATGCACGAGGATGGAGGGCGTGCTGGTATACACGGGATGAGTACATCCCAGCCTGTCATTTCGTCAGTCAGCGCTATGACTTCTGGGAGCCGTAAGGTTCGCACCTCGGTGGCACCCCCTTCTCAATTCATTTCACCCAATAGTTCGTTGGGCCAGACTCTCGAACGAAAGCTGAGGCAGCTTAATGATGCGATGCGGATACTGGAGCGGGCTGGGGCTTCCATGGTGAAACCGAACATTAAACCCGAGGCGCCGAAGGCATATGACGGACGGGATGACCTTGATGCATTCCAACGATATGTCGAGCAGTCCGTAGAGTACCTGATAGACGGGTTGATCGTCAGGGAAAGACATGTGTCTAAGATAGGACACTTTCTAGAGAAAGACGCACAGCAGTTTTTCAAGCGTGTCGTAAAGCGACCCGAAGATTGGGATGTTCGTGAGTTCTTCAATGAACTTTTTAACTACTGCTTTCCGGACGGCTTCATGAACGCCATCCAGAACCGTTGGCACGCCTGGAGACAACTCGGGTCCTCTGTGAAGGTATATGCAGCAACTATGGAGGGATTCCGGGATGACCTAGGCGACGAAATTTCGGAGCGTCAGTTCATCCATCGGTTTTGGCAGGGATTAAATGACGACATTAGCCGACAACTCTACCTGGATCGTCTGCACCCTGACATTAACTCGTATGGCGAAGTTCTTGAGGGCGCTTTGATCGCTGAGC